TTTTTTGGTACCAGGAATCAAACTCAGGAGCTTGCGCTTGCCAGGCATGTGCTTATGCCACTGAGCTATATCCCCAGCCCAGTAATTCAGGCCTTGAACTGTTTTTGTTTTTGGTACTAGGAATCGAACTCAGGACCTCATACTTTCCAAGCAGGCACTGTGCCATTGAGCTATATTCCCGGCCCGAAGATCCCAAATTGAAGGCCACACAGGAAACTTAGCAGACCCAGGATTAAAATACAAAAATTTTGAAAAGGGACTGGGACTGTAGCTCAGTGGTAGAGCACCTCTGATCCAACTCCCAGTGCTATAAAAAATAATAACTTTTTAACTTCTTCCCCATCCAAAGCTACTTCCTTTGTGCATTCTTCAGAACCTTCAGTTTTAGCAATCCCTAACCTTAAATCTTAAAGTGCAGTAGATATCATAACTCATTTCTCCCCTTCCTTTTCTGAACTTCGATTCTTTGCTTTCTTGGTACTCCTTTTCTTTCAGGGAGGGGTAGGCAGTGCTGGGGCCTCAGCCGAGGGCCTTGTGATGCTGAGCATACTTTCAGCCACTGAGTTCACCTCCACTCCTCACTTTCTTCTTTTTGAAACACTGTTTGCTGTTCATAAAGCCTCATTCTGTTTCAGTCACTGTCAGACTTTTCTGAGACGTTCTGCCAGCAGTGTAATTTGCTTTTTATTAGACACGGTTTCCCTGCACCCAGCGAAGGTGTGGACTGAGTTCCATTCATGGTTCCAAGACCATGGTTGTAATTACCAATTTTGTACAGATTCCGTAGCCTGTTGAATCGTGCCAGACTATTGACTTGACCTCCTTCTTAATTTAATTTTGTTTTCAATATTAGTTGAAAGCTCAGTAAACCTAATAAATTAGGTGAGTCACCACATTTTATATGATTCTGAGAAAAAGGAACAGATGGAAAAAGAACAATAGTGTAAAAGAATTACAGTACAAAGAAAGAAGTAAGAGTCGTCGTTGGCTCAGATTTTTTTTTTTTTTTGGCTCAGATTTTAAGAATGCTTTTCTTCACCATGTCCATGCACACTCACACGCGCACACACACATATACACCCTTTCACGTGGTTACTGATACACTATACTGTATCAGAAGAGGCAGCTAAACCGGGCCTGGTGGCGCATGCCTGTAATCCCAGCACTTGGGAGGCTGAGGCAGGAGGATTGCCATGAGTTCAAGGCCAACCTGGCCTACATAACAAGACCCTGTCTCAAAAAACCATACACATGTAAAGTAGATGCAGTTGACCAGAGCTGAGATAAATCTAGTTACTGCTTTTGGAATTCGTGGGTGCTTAAGGGAAAATGAGACCCTAAGAAACCAACTAGAAGAGAGACGACCTTGTTGCTGTTCCCCGGGGGACTGGATTAGACCCAAATCCCAGTGGAAGCCTGTGTTGTAAACTAAATAACTTAGCATTAAGCAGTTCGAGGGCTGATTGTGTAGCTCACCAGTACAGCATGTGCTTAGCTTGAATGAGATGGCCCTCACATACACAAATTTAATTCGTTTATATTCAGCAAGTAGTTTCTGAATGCTTTTTTATATGCCAAGCACCCTTCTAGGTTCTAAATCCTTTCATCTTCACCACCCATCATTTATGTTAAGAACAAGTTGCTTTTTGTAAACACTGGTGAATCCTCCTGGGAAGCTTCCTTCTCCAAAGAAGATGGATTGCAAGGAGCACAAGTCTAGAATTAGAATTCTGTTGAGACTTGTCAGCAGAGGAATAAGCTAGAATGAAGACATTGAACTGCAGTGGATTAAAGCCTGGCCTTTGCATTTCTGCTGTATGACAGGGACAGCAGTCATGGACAAGAAATATGAGTAACTGGCTGAAGCCAGATGCTGGATCTCAAGACCCTGGGATTTTGACCTTTTAAAATGGAAAAAGGAGGCCAAGACATTGTGTAATGAAACCTGTCTCTGTTAGAGCAGTATTTCCGGCTTTTCTGTGCCTGTAGCCACATAGAACAGCTTGGACCAATTTCGTGTATGTGTTCTGTTTTGTTTTGTTTTGTTTTGTTTTGTTTTATTCATTGAGACAGGGTGTCGCTATGTAGTTCGGACTGGCCTTGAACTCACTGTGTAGCCTACGCTAGCCTCAAACTCTTAGCAGTCTTTCTGTCTCAGCCTCCTAAGTGCTTGGATTACAGGTGTGCACCACCATGCCCTACTGTGTGTATTTGTTCTGGGTTTTTTTGTTTTTTTTTTTTTAATTTTTTTTTTGTCGGGGGAGTACTGAGAATCGAACTCACGACGTTGTGCTTGCCAGGAAGGCACTGTACCTGCTGAGCTATATCCTACCCTTGCTGTGTGTCTTTGTATATTTGTTTCCATACTGGAAATCAAACCCAGGGCCAAGTGCTGTACCATTGAACTATGCCCCCAGCCCCAAAGTACTATATGTTTAAAGGCATACCTTTCACAGAAAGAAGAATGTATGTCCGAACTCCAATATGTTCCTAAATAATTGAATTTTTTCCCTGAAACTACAGTATGAAAATTCAAATAAATGCGTACCTTTGTTTATGAGATAGGGTCTCATCATGTACTTCAGGCTGGCCATGAACTCACTATGTAGCCCAGGCTAATCATGGCAATCCTTCTGGCTCAGCCTTCTGAGTGCTGGGACTACAAGTATGCACCATCACACCCAGTTAAAGTTGTATTTTTTAATTTAAAAAAGCACTTTTTTAAAGTTAGACTATGTGTCACACTATAAATACATTGAGAGAGATCTCAAATGATGTTTACCAAATGTTAATAGTAGTTATTTCTGGGTAGTGAGATTTAGAGTTACAATTAAAATTTTTTTTACTTACTGAATTTCTTTTTCTAATGAATATGTGTAATTTTAAGAAAACAATGAAACTGCCAGATGTGGTGCCACGTGCCTGTAATCCCAGCACTTGGGAGGCTGAAGCAGGAGGATTGCTCTGAGTTCTTAGGCCAGCCTGGGCTACATAGCCAGACCTTGTCTCAAAAAGAAAGAAAGAGAGAGAGGGAGGGAGCGAAGGAAGGAGAAAGGAAAGAAGGGAGGGAGGGAGAAAAAAATGAAACTGTAAAGATAGGCCATTAGGCCATGTACTTCTTTTTCTAGAAAGTTTTTGAAGACTACTTCAGTAGCCTCATTTTCTTTTACCATTCCAAGACTCTTGACAGTGAAGCTTGGATTTTTTTCCTTTGTGGCTTTTGTACATGTTATGCCTTGCATTTGGCTAATGTTCTTTGTCCTGTTTCCTTCCCCTTGTGTCCTGTTTAGCAAAAGATACAGATATTGTGGATGAAGCCATCTATTACTTCAAGGCCAATGTATTCTTCAAAAATTACGAAATTAAGGTAAATTACAGAGCTTGTAATGTTTTAGTTTTCTGATGGAGATATCTACCTTGTAGTCACGGTTGCCATAAGGAGTAAACATAATGAACTGAGATTGTGATTTTTAAGTTTCAGAATGTGCCTAGTGTTAGACTCTGTATAAATACTAGTTTCCTTTTTTCTTCCAAAATATATACCAGGCACTGGCAAACTATACCAGGTCTGAGAAACAGCTCTGACCCACTGCCTCTTCTTGTAAATGAAGTTTTATTGAAACATAGCTGTGCACATTTGTTTGGATATTGTTTACAGCTACTTTCAGACCACAGTAACAGCAATAGAATGATTATTACAAACACTGTGCGACCCACAAAGCCTAAAATACTGACTTTGTAGTCTTTACGCAGAAAGCTTGCCAACCCTTGTCTAGATACATTTTACTTATTCAGCATTAATTAAGCATCTATTATGTGCCAGTCCTATGTACAAGAGTAGTTCACAACCAGAAACTCTACAATGTGCTCCTTTGGTTTTCTTATGTGCCTCTTGAGTTTTGAAAAAATATGAAATGCTCCCAAATCCTAAACTTCTAAAATTTCAGATTTTGGAGCATGTTAGATTTTTAATTTTCAAACCAGGGATGTTCAGCTGGTAAAGTCTATGCAGTATTCCAAAATCCAAAACCCTTTGTTCAGATAAGGGTTTCAGATAAGGGTTACTCAACTTGTACTTTTGTGTCACTGGCCTGAGCTGGAAAAGTAGAGAGACTGGAACAGACTTCTGATACGCTAGTAGGGACATGCCCTGCCCTGAATCCTCTTCCCCTTCTGCTCTTGGTTTCAGGAAGATGTCGAGGGGAGTGGGAGAAAAGGTGAGGAGAAAACAAAAAGCAGTTTCCTGACCTCCTGCTATGAGCAGGTTACAAAGAATAGCAAGAATTTTTGTTGTTTTTTTGAGACAGAACCTTAGTATGCAGCCCAAGTTGGCCTTGAACTCACGATTCTCCTGCCTCAGCCTCCTGGGTACTGGGATTACAGGTACACACCACCATGTCTGGCTATAACTTTCTTGTAATATCCTAAAATACAGCCAGGTGTGGTGGCACACACCTGTAACCCCAGCACTCAGGATGCTGAGGCAGGAAGATCGCCTCTTTCACACCTAGCCTGGCCTACATAGTTCAAGGCCAGCCTGACCTGAACTATATAGCGAGACCTTGCCTATATATATATATATCCTAAAATATGTACATATGTGCTTTAACCTCTCCTTGTCACACTTCGATTTTTTTGTAATCAAACAGGATATGAGATCTTTATTTGTGGACTATTTTTTGGGCGGAGTGGTCAGAAGGGTCAGACTGTGCAGTTCAGGCTGGCCTTGAGCACGCTGTGTAGCCCAGGTGGGCCCCAAACTCGGAGTGATCTTCTGGCCTCAGCCAAACCCACGTCCCCCATGCCCAGTTTGTAGGCTCTTGCTCAGGGATTGTAATCTAAGCTTCCTGTGATGTTAACGGCGTGTTTTCTGTATCTAACGCATGGTCTAAGTATTGTGTTTATAAGAGGTGTAAATAAATAGAATTTTGCCACATTTCATTCTTTCTTCAGTATTGTATGTTTGAAGTAGGGAAACGTGTAGCTTTTTGGTGGTCTTTCTTTTCCCAGCTATAATTTTGTGTAAAGTCAGGCCTGCAGTGCATGCCACAATTGACCGATATCCGTTGTCTTCAGATTTTCCTTTTGGGTAGGTCAAGATGTTGGGCTCCTGGAGTTCTTCAAGAACATGTCACACATGAAGTAATTGCTTCCTCCTTTTGAGTAATGAGTGTTTCTGTTCTCGGCAGAGATCCTCGGTGAAAGAGTTCCAAACATTACCCGCCATGTGGTGCGCCTCAGGGTTCCCCGGCTGTTCCGTTGCTTCTGCGTCCTACACAGTCGGGCTGCTGACAGCAGTGAGGGGAGCTGAGGAGAACAAGAGCAGCTGTGCAGCTGTGGGGGCGCTGCGGGCCCCCTCAGGAGGGCGCTTCAGGACACTGTGCACTGGGACGTAGGGACCTCAGTGCTAGGGTGGCGAGGCTGTCAGCGTTCACGGTAGATAATCAGAAGTCAGGTTGAGTTCATTCCTTCATTGCAGGACTGTTATGTTTTGATGAGCACTGTTTTTCAAGTTTCCTTTTTCCCCTTGTAGAATGAAGCAGACAGGACTTTGATATATATAACTCTCTACATTTCTGAGTGTCTGAAGAAACTCCAAAAGGTAATCATAAACTTGATGATCACCTGTTAGAAAAACAGATTACTGGTATGTATGTATGCTCCCCGCCAGCTGGGTTTTTTGACTTTAAGGACAAGTAGAGCCGGGCATGGCAGCGCACAATGTGATCCCAGCACTTGGGAGGCTGAGGCAGGAGGATTGTTGTGAGTTTGAGGCCAGCCTGGGCAACAAAGTGAGCTGATTCCAGCCTGAACTGCATAGTGAGACCGTATCTCAAAAAAACGAGAAAAGAAAAGGACAAGTAAAAAATATTTCCCCCGGCTTAGAGCGTGGTGCTAAGAGAAAATGTGAATGTGGTTCTCAACTCATAAAGGAGTTGACGGACGCAAAAACTAGGATAGTGGTTTGTTCCCCAGTGTTACTGATGGAACCCACAGCCTCCTAGGCAAGCATTCTGTTTGATTGTGAAATACAGTCTCACCAAGTTGACCAGACTGAGCGCAATTTGCAGTCCTTCTGCCTCAAGTAGCAAGGATTACAGGCATGTGCCACCACGCCTGGCCAGGAAAAGATGGTGACATTTTAAGGCTTTACATGTATTTTTCAAGACAGAAATCTCAACAGAATTTACTTTGGCTTACGGGTCCAAAGGTAAAATACAAGGGTCCATGAAGCTGAGTGGGAAAAAACTGCATTTTTCTTTCCAATAACCTCTAACTAAAGTACAGCATTTTCTTTTGGTTTTTTTCTTCTTTGAGACAGGGTCTCACTATGTAGTCCAGGGTGGCCTCAAACTCACTCCACAGCTCAGCCTGGCCTTGGGCTTGCAGTCCTTTTGCGTCAGCCTCCAGAGGGCTGAGATTACAGACGTGAAACCACGCCTGCCAGCAGTAACTTCAACTGTGAACGCAGGCAACAACCTCCGGTAGTACTAGCAGCTTCTTTCCTAAGGGATCCATGACACGGTCCTATTACTTTAGAGTTGAAGATACTTTGAAATTTTTTCACATTTTTTCGTATCAGTTCTTTGAGCTTTAGTTACTGTATCTTACTACTGTGAGCATTTATAAAAACCATGTGTGACTATAATAAATTAAGTTTTTAATATTTTAATTATTGTATTTTACCATAACTGGTTTTTCTTGTAATTTTATTATTTTGTTTTATTCCTTTGGAGCATTGCCCTGAGAAAGTACCCAGGATATACTTGATTTCAGGGCATAAAGAAATTTATATCCCAGCCTTTTAAACTAATAATCTGGATGTTGTTATTCTTATCCATGTAAAAATATGTGCATTTCTTTCTTTCTTTCTTTCTTTTTTTTTTTTTAAGACAAGGTTCTCTTACACTGTCCAGGCTGGCTGTGTGGCCCAGCCTGACTCTGAACTCATAACCCTCCCGCCTCACCCTCCCAGGTATATGTGTGTAATTTTTTCTTTTTTTTTTTTTTTTAGTGCAATTCCAAAAGCCAAGGAGAGAAAGAAATGTATACACTGGGAATCACTAATTTTCCCATTCCTGGAGAGCCTGGTTTTCCACTAAATGCCATTTATGCCAAACCTGCAAACAAACAGGAAGATGGTAAGAAAGGATGTCTGTCCCCTCTCCCTGAGGCATAGGAAGGTTTCCTTCACTTGCTGCTCTCACTGCTCCTTTGCTTCTCTCGATCCACGTGAGACTGAGTCATTAGGGTGGACATGAGCGCACCGCGCTGTCACAACAGTTAGCACGTGTGGCATGCATAGCACCCTTTGGCCCAGAATGCATCACCCATTTGACTGTTGTTGCTTTGTCTTAACTATTTGAATGTATAAAGATGTTTTGCCAAGGTCAGTGTCCAGACCAGCAGCCAGGCCATTTGGATGAGCTCTCAAGGACAGTTTTTTTTATTTTGTTGTAGAGGTGATGAGAGCCTACCTGCAGCAGCTAAGGCAAGAGACTGGACTGAGACTTTGTGAAAAAGTTTTTGACCCTCAGAATGATAAACCCAGCAAGGTAAGACCCTGTCCTTTGGCTGTTTAATTGCTAATTCACCTTTTAGCTTGTTGGCCACCATTAAACACACTAAGATCTTTTATTGCAAGAAAAATTTTAGGCTGGTAACCTCTTCTGCACACAAGTGATCCCAGCTACTCAGGAAGCTGAGGCAGGAGGATTGCCATTTTGAGGACAATTTAGCCAGGCATGGTGGTACAGACAACTGCAGTCCCAGCACTCAGGAGGCTGAGGCAGGAGGATGGCTGTGAATTTGAGGCCAGCCTGGGCCACAGAGTGAGTTCAAGACCAGCCTGAACTTCATAGCAAGTCTCTGTCTCAAAAAGACAAAAATAAAAATTAAAAAAAGTAAAAGGGTTGGGACTGTAGCTTGGTGATAGAACACTTACCTAATATGTTTGAGGCCCTGGGTCCAGTCCGCAGTATTGCAAAGAAAAGGAAAGAAAGAAGGAGACTTAATTTCTGCATCCTGCTGTTGTTTAACTTAAGTATGTGCTTCGTGGGTACTAATTCACTGGGTCACACTGAAGAAAGAATTGTGTCTGGCAAGGAAATTTTAGTCATTTTCTTCATTGTGTTCTTACGCTGGAGCATTATAAACCCAGAGAAGAGGTATTCTGTAGGTACCTTGGATACACTGTACATTGCCCTTCAGCGTCCACTGGGGACCTAAGTCTGGAAGCCCAGTCCCTTACCTAAAATTGCGTAACACTTGCATATACCCTACACACACTTTCCTGAGTGCTTTAACTCCTCTCTGGGCACTCATACTACCTAATGCAGTGTAAGTGCTGCTGTATCCCTTGGGGGATGGTGACAAGCAGAGAAGGCTCTACATGTTGAGTAGAGGTGCAGGTATTTTCCCAAACATTTTCTATCCACCATGGGTTGGCTGGAGATGCAGAACCCATGGACACACAGAGCGGACTCTGTTACATTTATGTACTTTGTTTTTGGTGTTTTTGAGACATGACCTCGCTATGTAGTTCAGATTGGCCTTAAACTGACGGCAGTCCTCCTGTCTCAGCCTCCCAAGTGCTGGGATTACAAATGTGTGCCACCGTACCCAGCCATCATAATTTTGAGTAACCTGTGCATCTATGTGTGCTTCTGAGGTGTTTATAGTCTCTTTTAAGAGAAGTTGGGCTAGTATTAAGTTTTATTATTAAGTAAATTTGAATTCTGGGTGCAGTGGTGCATGCCTTTAATCCTGGTATCCTAAGTGTCTGAAACAGGAGGACTATTTGAGCCTAGCCTGGGCACCATAGCAACTCAGCAAGACCCTGTCTCAAAATAAAAAATAAAAAGGGCTGGGGATGTAGCTCAGGGTGAAGGCCCTGGTTTCAACCCCCACTATCTAAATAAGTGCATAATTTGAATTTTCGCCTCACCTTGACGCTGCACTGTGATTTGACCCGGCTGTGCCTTCCGTTTTGCCCCCTTCTGGCAGTGGTGGACGTGCTTTGTGAAGAGACAGTTCATGAACAAGAGTCTGTCAGGACCCGGGCAGTGAGCAGCACCCGGCGGCCGTGTCCAGACCCCGGCGGCACTTCACGGCCCCTTGCGCACAGTCCCTGGCCTGTGTTTCCTAAAGTTTGTAGAGAAGCAAGAAGGAAGCCTGTCTGCCTGAAAAGTTCTTGGTTACGTTCGGGTACGGGAGGGGGAAGTGGGCTATCCAAGGGTGATGTGAACATTTCTGCAGTATTAAGCTGGTGCTTAATAATAATAATAATTAATAAATTTCTAATAACTTTGTTGCTTACCTTTGACATTCAGTTAAAAACTTTTTAGCTACAGTTTACAGACCATAGTATGTGTACAGTTTAGGGGTTTTAGTATAAAGTTTTGCAATCGTGACCATTATCTATCTAATTCCAGAACACTTTCATCATCCCCAAAAGATGTTCCTGTACTTGGCCGGGCGTGGTGGCGCACGCCTGTGATCCCAGCCCCTGGGAGGCTGAGGCAGGAGGATCACAGTGAGTTCAAAGCCAGCTTGGGCTACATAGTGAGACCTTGTCTCAAAAAACCCACACAAAATAAAAAGATGTTCCTGTACTAGCAGTCACACCCCTCATCCCCCCCACCGCCTCCCTTCCTACCCCTAGGGTATGACAAGTGACCTTACGTGTCTGACTTCTTCCTCTTAACACATTTTTAAAATTCACGCCTGCCATAACATGGAGTAGCACTCTTTTTTCTTTCCCTTTGCCTTTTTTTTGGTTGTTGTACACTTGAGATAAAATACACACATTGCAATGGGGGGTCATTGTTTTTACTTTCTGCTAAATTTTATCCCGCGCAAGGGAGAGGGTCTCGGTCGTGGGCAGCTCCCTCCTCGGGGGCATCAGGCAGCTCCTCGCGCTTCCTCTGCGGCGGATGCGTCTCCACAGCCTGTTCTCAAGGAATCCGAGGGCCCCATTGGCCTTGGAGCCCTTGAGCAGCCCCGTGGCGCCCCGCTTAGCAGGTAGAGCTGCACATGTCCCGGTCACGTCCAGCACACACTCGGGTGCTCGGTGAGGCGCCCGTGGCAGC